ATAAATCAACTTTTCTATAATAAAATCAATATATTTTTGTGTTTTATTTTGAAAAATTATAAATAAACTTATTACCAAATAAAATCAATGTTTAATGTTTAATGTGTGATATTATCACAATTAGTTCTCTGTAGCTTTTTTTTTTTACTACTCTTCCTTATGAAAAATTCCGTCCATTCCCCAATTATTGCTCAGATCTTATTAGAAACAAATTTCATCTCATTTGTCATCCTCGCTGCGCATTTTTTTCCAAATTTTGAAGGGCCTTCTATATAGTAATCTATTTTTTCAAGTGTTTTGATCCACTCCTACCCTTTTCTATAATCTTCCTTCAGATGTTGTAGCAAGTGATCCCTATTGAAAAAGCCCCCATGGCCTTTGCATCTAACATTCGAGTATCTCCATTGATCAAAATAGTTATAGTTTGGTATCTTCCTTGCCTTGTTTGTATCCAATGTATAGTGTACCAGTTTACTCTGCTCTTTTTGTATTTTAACATATCCTTCCTTATATTGTGTCATGATTTAAAGTAATTTTTTATTTATCTCTATTTATTGAGCTCAAACGCATTCATGTCTGCTTTATTTGGCATTCTTTTTAATGTTAATTCATGTTATTGTAGTCTGTTATTATATTTCTCCATCTCCATCTTTGCTATCCTTGTCCTACGATCTAACTAGATTCCCATAATGTCCATATCAATCAATGAATCATCATATTTCTCCACCTTCTTTGATTCGGCATACGCCGCTATCACTTCCAAATCTTTAAAACCAAATGTCATTACTTTTTCTCCTACTTAAATTCTATCAATATAAAATCTTCAAATCCTCTCCAAATTTTCCTTGTCAGTACTGTCTTCCATTATTTAAATAGATAATCCCCATCTAATCCATAGATTGGAATATTTATTCACAAGAAATATAAAAATAATTTGATTATGGTTTTAAAGAAGTTAATTTATAATTTTTAACAAAAAAATACACAAATAATGTTATTTTATTATTTTTAATAAGATATTTTATAATTTTTCACAAAAAATACACAATTAATTTGATTTTATTTTTTTATAAATAATAAAATTATATTTCAGAAAGACATAAGCTAATAATTTGATTTGATTTTGTAAAAAGTTAATTTATAAGTTTTCACAAAAAAATACACAAATAATTTGATTTTATTTTTTTATAAATGTAGATCTAAATTTATCTCCAAAAATTATCGAATTAATAATTTTATAATTTTTAAATTGTTATTTTATTAATTACACAAAT